TCTCTGTAAAGGACTTCAAGGTAACATGGAAACTAAGCCATATTCTCCAGCTATAGCCAAAGCCAGACTCTGGAGAGGAGCATATACCTATTAGACCTTATCTGCCAGACAGACTACTATAAAGATAAGGAGATAGAGTCAGTCCTTCCTAGGCTCAGTCATATAAAGGTACATACTACCAGGATCCCCCAGCTTGTTTACCTAGACCATTCCCCCATCCTTAGCTCCTATTAGTTACGAACTTCTGAAAAGTAAAATGAACTTGCCCACTGAATTGAGAAGGCCCACACCTTCCAGTTTGACCTAAGTTGCAGGATCGAATTTTGACCTTCTCTCCTGGCTTTCTTATAACTGCACACCTCTTTTGATGGACCTGTATTTTCCATCCCATGCATCTCCTTTGCCCATCTTCTACTGCCCAGTGTCGAAATCAACACCAAAAAGACCAAAGAAAATTCCTGTTAGAAAGAATGGGTTGATTTAGGATGTCTTCATCTTATCATAGAGGAACTTTAAAATAGGCATTTGTCCATTAGTATCCACTCTGTAGCGTAGTATATTAGGTACTAATATAGTAAGTAGAACATTTCATTTTACCCTCATAGATCACCTAAAAGGAAATATGATACCCTTTTTTTTGAGGTGGGGGGGAGGGTATTGTTGGAGAACTCAGGTTTATTATTCCGGCATACCCAGATGAGCTAGTGCTCTGAAATTCTGGGCCCCGAGCTGAGGTTACGTGGAACTTTTGTAGGATATTTGATATCATTTCTTTTAACCATTACAACATTGGTGAGTTTGAATTACTGACCTGTGTGACCAAAGATCATGCACAGGAATTCTTCAATAAGTAGTACACAGATGCAGAATGAATGCAGTGAAATACCTCCACGCGACATCACAAAGTGACCTTCACCACAGGCAGCAGTTTCTCAAAATAACTGTATGCTTACATTTCTGAGAGCTATATTTAAAAAAAAAAAAAAACTAGCATAGAAATGCTACAATTTACACAAGTACTTAAACTACACTCTTATAGGGACCAGTAATTAAGTAACACTCTTACAAAGACCAAAACTGTAAAGTAATATTTCTTCTTCATTTCCCCCTCTGATGCCTGTCTGTATCATATAAGGCATCAACCTTTATAAAGCTGGATATTTAAGGTCTTCCTGTTTAGAAGTCAAGACCATCTTTAGTTTTGTTGCTTTTAGGCATGATATAACAAACTGGAACGGCAGTTTAAAATGTAAGGAGTGAATATCAGGCCTAAGAGTGTCATAGCAAGGGGTCTTGCCAGGGGCAAGAGCCAGGCTTCCTGGCCAGGTTCACCTCTTGACTTTTTCAAGTTTCCATTGTCATGGCAACTCCAGGTCACCTTCACCCATGCTGATCCGTTCCAATTGGATTCCAGATTTTATGGTTAGAAAGAACCTTTTTTTATCTCCCAAAGTTTCAGGATCTGGTCTCCAGCAGTTAACAGATAGTTTGCTAAAGAATGTGACATTCTGTCCACTTAGGCCAGGCAGGGCTGCAAGTATCTTGCTTCTTGGAAAAGAAAACATGTGGAGGTGAAATATGATACCCTTCTATTAGTGAGAAGCTTAGGTTCAGTAGGGTAAAGTGATCTTCCTGAGTTATAAATGGGACAGAATTAGGATTCAAATCTGTTTGTGTGTGACATCAAAACTTGTGTTTTATCTTCTGTTTTGTACAGTAACTTAGGCAGAATTTACTATAATTCTTATAATTTTTTAATCTATATTCTTTTGTTTGTTAGTTTGTTACTGAGGATTGAACCCAGGGGTGCTTGACCACTGAGCCATATGCCCAGCCCTTTTTATTTTTTAAGACAGGGTCTTGCCGAGATGCTTAGGACCTTAACTACGTTACTGAGGCTGGCTTTGAACTTAAAATCCTCCTGCCTCAGCCTCCTGAGCCACTGGGATTATAAGCATGTACCATGGGCTTTCCAGTGTTCTTTAGTAGAACAGGTATTTTTGAGTGTTCTTTGCCAGGGCTGGAGTTATAGAAAATAATTCCAGATTCTTGCTGTCAAGGAGCCTATAGTTCAAAGGACAGGTGTGTAAACAAAAAGTCATACTATAGTAATGATGGCATTCCTCAAAAGCAGCAAAGGCATAGAGAAAGGACCAAAACCATCTGAAAGAATCAGTGAAGGGCTGGGGATGTGGCTCAAGCGGTGGCGCGCTCGCCTGGCATGCGTGCAGCCCGGGTTCGATCCTCAGCACCACATGCAAACAAAGATGTTGTGTCCACTGAAAACTAAAAAAAAATAAATAAATATTAAAAATTATCTCTCTCGAGAGAGAGAGAGATAAATGTCACAGTAGTATGGGTAGACAATAGGGATGGGAGGGGAGAGGAGGGGAGAGGAGGGCAGCAGAATACAACCGACACTAGGATTGCTGTATGTATACACATGGATGTATAACCAATGTGTCCCTGCAATCTGTACACGGGGAAAAATGACAATTCATACCCTATTTGAGTCAAATGTATGATATGTCAAGATCATTGTATTGTCTTGAACAACTAATAAAAAAATAATAAAAATTCTCTCTCTCTCTCTCCCCACCCCTCAAAAAGAATCAGTGAAGTTTCATAATATCAGTAGCGTTTAAGCTAGACCCAAAGAATGAATAGGAATTTTTCAAGTGAACAAAAGGAATGATATTTGTTTTAAAAAATAAATCAATAAAAGCAAGGGTAAATGTGAAAAAAATACCAGTAATTTTCTATTGCTCTATGCGAGGTGGGGGGGATGGCCAGAGAGAAAAGTAAGGACCAGATAAATCAAGGACCAAATAGATAGTGGGGTGTTGACCATCTGTAATGCAGAGAGACATGTTAGTTTTGTTCTCCTTACCAAATGATGGCATTGAAATTTTAGCAGAGGAATGACATGACCAGTTTTACCTCTTTAAAAATTCAGTGTAAAAAAATATAAAGTACAAATTAAAGAAAAATTATGAGATTGAGAATAAAGGAAATTTATATAACGTTCCAGAAGAGACAAGGAGGGGGAGTATCAAGTAGTAGGGAGGAGACAACAGGAGCACCAGGGTGGTTTGAGCAGAGAGAAAAGGGTAATAGCATTTGGTTCACCACACAAGCCTCAAAACCTTTTATCATCCCAGATTCTTGATCTACCCACCTGCCTTTTCTGTAAACTAATAAAAGATAATAGTTTTTCAATTCGTGATATGGCCTTTCATTTACTTCACATGATAAGCACTTATTTTGCTTTTTTTTTTTTACATTTTCACATCTGGATCATACAATGAAAAATTCTGGGAAGTCTCATAAATTTTATGCAATCTTTCAACTTTATCATCAAAACTTCAAAGTTAAAAACATATGGTTCATTCATCCAGCTCTTCTAGTATGTGAATTTTTGGTCTGGAATTTATTTCCAGTCAAGTTGTAATGTAAAATCACACTTAAAATTGCCATAGTTACCCTACATTACAAGTTATGATATTGAATTAGGTATAATTATTCATTTTTCTTTTCCTTTTCCCTTAGCAAGTCTCAAGAGTTACAACTAGTGAACTACTTTTTTCTGTATGTAGCATACATTCATCATAACCTGCTTGTTTCCTATACTTCACAGAAAAAGTGCATTTTTCTTCTTTTTAAAGAAAAATATAAATGTATCTTCTCTGGATTTATAAATATGTACATTCATATGTGTATACACAATCATGCATGCACATAAAGACACATATATTTATTATACCAACATTCAGGCTTTATGATGTATAACTAGCAGGTTAACAGGTACTAAAAATCATTTGACCATCCTTTAACACTAATTAGGGTATGCAAAAACTTTGTTCCCTGTAATGTATATAAAGAGATCATAGGTTAGTTTAACCAAATTTATTTAAATAGTTTACTTTTTGTACATTAGAAAACACAGAATTGGAAATTTGCAACTTAGAAGAAGAATATGTCTCTATCAAAATTCTTAGAAGTACAGGAAATTATTTTACTAGAACAGCTTAAAATCATTTCAAAATTAATAGATTTTTGTTCAAGATTTTATAAATACTTTGCTGTCAGTGAAATATTTACCATTAAAGTATCATTGTAATGCTTTGCTAGGTACATCCAAAAATAAGAGAGTGGAGTCTTAAAACTGTATGAAATAACTGCCTAAGATCATAATATTAACTTATGTGTCTTTAAGTCAGCATTCTCCAGAATCTAATTTAATTGAAATGGCTTGGCCTGTGTAAACTTCTCCTTTGTTTAAATAAGATTTCACTGTTTAGTTTTGCCTTAAGCAAATGCAGCCTTTTGTTTGTCCATAAAACATTTGATTAAATGTATAGACTAATATGAATAGCTTTTCATCATTCCACACGTACCACTGGCAGTTGCCCCTTTGCCTAGTATGTGGTGTATTATTGTCATTGAGAACAAGACTCTATTCTTAACTTGCTCTTTGGGGAAAGTGAGTTTTTCACAAGAAAACCTTCTCTCTCCTTACCATCATTGGTTTTCAAATTTAAAAGACTCTGTGAAGGGCCTGGAGTTGTAGCTTAGTGGTGGAGCACTTACCTCGCATGCATAAGGCACTGGGTTCAATTCTAAGCACTATGTATAAATAAATGAATAAAATAAAGGTCCATCAACAACTAAAAAGAATTGTTTTAAAAAGAAGAAATGCAGCTACTAGTATTCTTGATATAGTGAATTATTAAGTATTTGTTTTCAAAGTACAATGAGTTTTTACTCTTAAAATTAGCTTAGTGTTTGACTTTTTGTAGGATGTTACAGGAAATTCATTTTGCTCTCCCCATCCAACTGTAGTTTATTTTGTTTTTATTTGGATGAATAGTAATTTAGTGATAAAATGATTAATTTTTTTTGTTGTTTTTGTTTGTTTTGTTAAAGCTAATGTAAGATTTCCAGTGGGAGAGGGTAAATGCCTTGATGTTCTTGTAACATGGTGCTTTTTGCCTATTCAGGCAATGCTGGATGTGGCTGCAAACCAAGGTTGGCTGGTGACTGCCCTGAATATCACCAACCTGGTTCAGATGTTGATCCAGGGTAGGTGGTTAAAAGATTCTTCTCTTCTTACACTACCAAACATAGAACAGCACCATCTTCACCTTTTCAGGTAATTGTCTTAATTTTCAATGTAATTGTTTTAAGTTTTCTCAATGGATTTTTTTTTTTTTTTGGAGGGGAGTGGGTATTTCTGGGAATCAAACCCAGGGCTTCATGCATGCTAGGTTGTACCATTGAGCTACACCTCCAGATCCCCCCAAATTCCCTTATTAAAATACATATAGACACTGGAATTTCATGTGGTGCCTACAATATTGATTCTTTGGAGTAAAAATGCCCCTTTCCCAGAAGGAGACATGCCCTCAGTACCAAGATGAACCACAATTCATTTTAGCCTTCTCCTACCTAAATTGTTTGTCCTCCCTTTGCAATATTAAATATGTTTCTATTTTAACTGCATTTATTCCTTTACATTATCAGCTTTATTTAAGAAAACATTATTAAGGTGTTTTGTGATCTAAAACCAAAATAAATTGCCAGCTTCTGTTATGTAGAAGAGACTGAGGGATCTGAAATCCATTGTCAAAAGTAAACTATGGGGAGCTGGGGTTGTGGCTTAGTGGTAGCGCTCGCCTAGCACATGCAAGGCGCTGGGTTCGAGCTTCAGAACCACATAAAAATAATTAAAATAAAGATATGTGTCCTACCTACAACTAAAAGAAAATGTTTTTTAAAAATAGTAAATTATGGATCTGAAATGTCCAAAACTAGATAGTTAGGTATAGTGGGAGTTCAAGATACAATATGTACTGAGTTTATATTAGTATCAAATAATTTAACCCTTAGGTCTCACATACATGGCTGCAAATGTTTCAGCAAGGAACAGTACAATATACAAGCAAGATTGACAGTGTTTAAATGAAAATGTCTCTTTCACACCAGTGTTTCACAGCAGTTGAGATACCTTGCAGCCAGAATGTTATTTCACAGTTATGGAGATAACCAAAATAGTCTGGCTTGCCATCATGCGCCCTATACCTCTTGTCAGTTGCATGAGGATCGCAGTTATTTAAGCCATTCAAGTACAGATGCCAACAAGAACCTCAGGAACACCTGGGGTCCCCTAAGAAAAATCCTAATTTGAATCAAGTGTACTGGGTGACAGGGTGACAGGTATGCTTGAGTCCCTACCATAGGATGTCCCTGGAAACTAACACACATTCAGAGAGTGAGCCATATCAGCAACAGGTGGCATGGAGAGAAGGTAGATATATCTACAACTTGTCAGAAGCCCTTCTGGTAAGGTTGTGAAGGTTATGTGAGTTGGATTTAGCAGTATAGAAAGCACATTAAAGGTACAACCTCACACAGCATCTATGAGGGAATCTGCTTGAGGGTGTACAAGATTTGGTCCAATTTTCTTATCACCCTTAAAAATTCAATATTAATATAATTTCGACTATATTTTCTTCTTACTATAACTTTTAGGTGGCTCATGTTCCTGTGATCTGGCACAACTTAAAATTATCTCAAAGATCTCCAAAGTGTACTTTAAATTCTGTGCTCCCCAAACTTAAAATGTAAAATTTTATTCAAGTAATTATATTAGACATTTGCACACATTCACCAAAAACATGTCAGGGTTTCACATCAGCACTTTATCTCCATGGAAACATTGTTTCACATCAGTGCTTCCTATAGAAAGACATCCACTGCATATGAACTCTTTTAAGTATTTACTGAGCCTGATACATGATTTAGAGTTTACAGATTTCATACAATGATAGTGATACTGCCTTAGGTTGATATAAAGAATGTTAGCCAATATTTAAAACTTAATATAATGGCCTATAAAGAGTTATATCTTAATTTTTTAACAACTGTTAATATCATACACACCAGTGTTATCAGAAAATCTTACTTGTGCTTTGAAAGAGTTATTTTGTTGGTGTTGATATAATTTCTAAGGAAATGGAAACCAGTTATAAAGTGCTCACGTGCTAGGTGCCGAACCTCCATTGAGTGCCTTCCTGAACTGATTCATGCCTGTGGAGGGAAAGACCATATATTCAGCTCCATGGTCGAGAAGGAGCTACAGGCCACCAAAACAAAGCAGGTAAGGCCCCCTTACTCTGTGAAGTTGTACCAAGAGTTTTCTAACTTAGGACGTGGGTTTTGAAGTCAGTCCCACCTGTGTTTAAATTCTGTCTTTGCCATTTACTAACTATGGAAACATTATATATATCTTATGACATTCTTGTGAAAGTTAAACAAAATAGTATTATGTAAACTGCTTTATATAGTTCTTGACATAGAATAATAATTGAACAAATGATAGTAATAGTAATTAATAAGATTACTGGCATTATTAGAACTTGTTCAGTATAATGCTTTCAAGCTCGATTCGGAAGGCTTCATTTAGCCTGTCCATCACCAGATTGCATTACCCAGGAGCCTACCCCGTCTCTTCTAGGTAGTTTTGCATTTTTTATGGTAGGGTATATTTTCATACAATTCCTTCAATTACTTGTTTATGTTCCACTCTTATTTTAATCACAGTATTATTCCTAGATTCAAAGAGATTCTTTCAGATAAACCCCTTATTTGTGAACTATGTAACTTATATGGAAAGTTAAATCTAAACAATCTTTGGAAGGCCAAAAACCAAATGAACAATGCCAGATATATTTGGCTTTCTAGCCTTTTAAGTCTTAAGCAGTTTTACCCTAAACATGTCAAAGTAAATGTTCAGGATTTATAACATGATTATATTGATTTGTATGTGCACATATTAAAGAAACTTTTAAAGCATATCTCTTTTTCTTTCCAAGTAATACTTTTTTTTGAACAAGACTTGGAAAAAGTGTAACAGGCATTAATGTCTGATTGATTGTTCAGTTTCTGTTGAACCCAAAATTGGCACAAAAAAAGTTATTTAAATGTTCATAATAAATGTCTACCTTTCTAACTAAATTACCATTAAAATTATGAATAAAAGCAATATATTGAAATCAAAACAAGGTTTCTGTTAGCAACAACAGATTTCTAATATAGCATATGTTGATTTGAAGCCAAGTTTTAGATGTGATGAAAAATTAGAACATTGTTATAATTAGTTCAGGGAGAACTCAGAAGTAAACTTACTTAATTTATTTGCATAAATTGCCATTCTGTTATCTTTAAAACCAAATGCAAATTGGCTCTGTCTGATATGATGATGGTTATTTGGCTCAAAAGTGCTTCAATTTGCAGAGCAATCTGGTGTCGGCTCTGCAGTGAGGCGATCCCAGGTAACATACAAATCCTGAATTATTCCAGAAATTAGTATGTTTAAAGCATCAATTTAAGTGCTAATTGCAGTAGTAATGAGAAAAAGCAGTACGACTGTGAGATTTGCATCTCCTACCCCATCAGTATGCCTGGAACGGCTGCTGACTGGCAGAGGATTTGGCTGCTAATTAAATAATTGTATGCATGGCAGTGCTCTTGCCTGATTCAATAGATGAAGATTAATCCTCAGATAAATATGTTTGGCTGGTATTGAAATATCTTAGCAGTTTCTTTTAAAAAGCTCATGTTTTATATACATAAATATACATATATACCAAATAAATATATGTGTACACATTATAAGTTAAAACATAATAATAAGTCCTACAAAAAGGTGTCATATGTATATATAAGCCAGGTAGACATTTGGAAGCATTGTAAAGAAAAATCTCAGTGAGTTGCTAATATCAGAAAACATCATATTGGTAACTAATTTAATGGTACGAGTACAAAAACATACGAAGTCCTGCTTTGTGTGGTAAATGTTACTTGCTTTGTTTCACAAAATTAAATGTTCTGCAGAAATTGGAGTTGAATTGAAATTTTGCATTGGATTTATTTATTTTTTTTGATTCCTAAGTGATAGTTTGGTTCATCAAACCTACTGCATTTGATTACATATACCAGCACCACTAAAGTCTTAGCAAACAGAAAATTAAAGCTTATAAGGAAATCCATACCATATATAAAAGAACTAAAAGGAAAACTAAAATTAAAGTCATTGTGTAACTTTAAAAACTACCTTAGAAGGTAACAACTGATAAAACAGCTATTAAGAAGTTGTCTTGGGCTGAGGTTGTGGCTCAGCGGTTAGCACGTGCAAGGCCCTGGGTTCGATCCTCAGCACCATATAAAAATAAATAAAGATATTGAGTCCAACTACAATTAAAAAATAAATAAATGTTAAAAAAAAAGAAGTTGTCTTGACCAATAGTTATATTACCACATAATTGTAAATGTTAAAAAAAGGTTATAGTTACCTAGGTCCTCAAGTTTACGGTGTTATACACTTTCCATGGATATAAGATTCATTCCTTCATTTGTTCATTCAGCATTGTTAAGCATGTACTATTGGAATACTGATTACTCACAAATATCTTTTAATTTAAAAAGCAAGAATAAAGTTGGTAAAATATTTCTACTCTTTTAATATGTGTGATTTTAACTGGTACTTTCAGCATGATAATGCCAAAAAAAAAAAAAACCTATTTGTTTTTACAAGGAACCCTAGTCTTACAGGATTCCCTATGTTATATAACAAGTGGTCAATGGATTATACTGACATCAACAATTGCATCACAGATTTTTTTTTCAGATTTCCTTTATATCCCTAAGTAATGTTTTCTACCTTAAAAGTCACATAAACGTTAAAATAGATGCTTCTCTTTAAAAAAAAAATAGCAATAAACACTTTTAATCCCTCTTTTTTTTTTTTTTTAGTATAGTCAATAACCACTCAATATGAAGAGGCATTTATAATAAGTTATAAGTTTAGATAATAACTTTTTGGTTTAAAAAAAAACTTAAAGAGGATTTTAAAAAACACTGTTCTACATATATTCACCTACGTACAAGTACAAGAAAAACTAGGGAAACCTGAATAATCAGTGGATTGTGTCAATGCCAATATCCTGGTATTGTGCTATAGTGTTGAAAAATGCCACCATTGCATGATACTGGGTAAATGATGCAAAAGATGTCCATTATTTCTTTCAATTGCATTGAATTCAGAATTAATCTCAAAATTAAAAGTTTGATTTTTCTAAAATTACACTATTTCTTAGTTGATCACTCCATGTGACATTTTTTTGTTGTTTTTTCTTTTTAGGCATGGAATTTTTTATCTCGTTTGCCAGTGATAGATGTTGGCATAAGTGTTAAAGGCTCATGGGATGACTTAGCTGAAGGACACAATGAACTCTCTGTCTCAACTCTGACTGCAGACAAACGAGATGACAACAAATGGATCAAATTGCATGCTGATCAGGAGTATGTGCTCCAAGTCAGCTTGCAGAGAGTCCACTTTGGGTTCCACAAGGTATAGTATTTGGTTTCCATTCTCAAATATTTCGCACCAACTACCAGCATGTGCCACCACACATATCTTTTATATTACTAATGTGTCCGTGTCATTCATGAATCCTGCTTTCTCAACTGGCCTTAACAAGAGTCAGTTCTCATGTGCCATTTTTCAACCCCAGAATATCCACCTTACATAATCATATATTGCCTGGAGTACTATTCTCAAAGTGTGGTTTACACACTCAGTCTAGCAGAATTTCCTCGAGTGCCTTTTAAAGTGTAGATTCTTGGCCCCACTCCTGAATGACTGAATCAAAATCTCAGGGTCTGAGGGAATCACAGAACTGATGCTCTTTTTGGTGCCCCACTTGATCCTTTTTTGTTTTGGTTTGATTTTTTCTTGTACCTAGAATTGAATCCAGTGGCCTCACACATACTAGGTAAAGCTCTACCATCCCCAGTCCCCCCATGTACACATGATTTTTAAGGACATTAAAGTTTGAGAAGCACTGCACTAGAGGCACTTTGGTATAGGAACCACATCAGGCCAGATGTAGATGAAATTGAAGCTTTCCTTCTTAGCTCTATTGAATTTGAATAAGATGCTAAGCTTTTCTGAGACTCAGTTGCCACATCTACCTGCTTCCTTCATTATAATGCACATGAGAGAGCTTTGTCAATTTCATACAGACCAAAAATGTACAGTAGTTTTATTTTAAATTACTATGCTCTTTTCTGTAGCCTCTGACACCAAAATTAATTATTTAGTCCTCTAAGAATATTAGTACACATAGTGTGAGCAGATTGGTTTTTAGTACCATAGTAATTGAAATAAGAAAGAATTTGTCCTTTTTTTCTTTTTATCCTAGTGGATTCAGGGTTTTTAATATCTAGAGTAACCCTCTGGGATGAGAAAGCCCCTCTGTTTTCATAGAATAGTCACGTGTATTGTTACAATGTCCTTTCAGTAAAAGGTCTCACTTCATTTCATTTCTAATACTAAATATCAGCCAATACGAACATAAACTGATAGGCCTCTAGCATTTCAGAGCTTCAATATGAGCATTTCTAGATGAAATGTTCTAAATTCCAACTTCCAAAAAATAATAATAATCATAAACTAATCATAGAAATAGTTATAAAAATCATAATAATAAAGATAAAATCATGGAGCAAAAGTAGATTTCTTTTTTTTAACCTTCAAAATCTACTTTAAAATTAGATTTAATCATGTTCAAAAAAATTGTAGATTTTATTCCTAACTGCTATGGAACTATATTACTCTCTTATTTTTAAAATGTTATAACTAAAGCATCTGCCCCTGGAATACAGAGTGAAATCTCAATAGGAACATGCCATTATTAATATGTTTTATGCCATAAAGTCATTGTCTTAAAGACACATTACAATAACCTTGTTTTTGTAAAAGTCGGTCTAAGATAAAGACTCCAGATTCTGTCATTACATTAATTCTAGTCTTTTGTTTTTAATTTTTAAAATATATATATTTTTTTTTTTTTAAGGTATGGTTGGACACAATGCCTTTATTTTATTTACTTATTTTTATGTGGTGCTAAGGATCAAACCCAGGGCCTCGCACAAGCTAGGCAAGCACTCTACCACTGAGCTACAACCCCAGCTCCGACTTTGGTACTAGTCTTAAATTGTAGTGATTACTGTGTGTTACAAATTGCATGACTTATCATTCCTCACTCCTCAGAGAAAGGAACTTTTGATATACTATGTGCTTTTTTATGTGTATTTTATTCTTGGGTGGAAAGAAGATATTGATCTGATATTGTGCTTATTATCTTGAGTTACACAGTCTAGTCTTGATTGGTTTTTGTTTGTTTTCCTAAGCATCAGTTCTTTGTGAATAAGACTGGGAAGATTTGGTTCACATGGCTATATCTCCGTTTGTTTGTCTGTAAGTGGGGTATTAATGTTAATTGGAGGAATGGCTTGAGATTTTACTAATTTGATGTCAGGATTCAGAGCTTTATTCTTTCTGAGCCAAATATTCTGATAGTGATAGCTCAAAGGTATTACTTCTGTATGTACTGAAGAAACATACAAAAATGTATCAAACACCACAAAGGAAGGGAATTAAAGACATCCCAGATGGAAGTGCTGAACTCTTTGTTTATGGCCTTCCAGTAAGACAGCAGTGCCTTTTTTTTTTTTTTTAGTTGTAATTGGACACAATATATTTATTGTATTTATTTTATTTTTATGTGGTGCTGAGGATCAAACCCAGGGCCCCGCACATGCTAGATGTGCGATCTACTGCTGAGCCACAATCCCAGCCCCGAGCAGTGCCTTTTAACCACCACCAAACCATGTGAAAAGTGTAGATGTAGTCAATATTTTATCTTTTTCTCTGGTTTATAGGGAAAGCAAGAGAGCTCTGCAGTTACCCCTCGATTTCCCAAATCAAAAGATGAAGGATGGTTCTTGATTTTAGGAGAAGTGGACAAGAGAGAACTTATTGCTTTAAAACGAGTAGGATATGTTCGAAATCATCACATTGCTTCCCTGTCTTTTTTCACCCCTGAAATACCCGGAAGGTAAGCAGAATCTTACCACTAAAGTTATAAAAGAATTAAATGTGACTCTGATTAGAAAAACAGTTTTACATTTTTGTTCTATTTTCATATTCTAGGTATATCTTCACACTCTATCTCATGAGTGACTGCTACCTTGGTCTGGACCAGCAGTATGACATTTACCTCAACGTCACACGAGCAAGCATTTCCATGCAGGTCAACACAGAGGTCTCTGATGCCTTCACTGACCTGGCAATAAAATAACCTGACCCAAACAATGCATTTGAAAGAATTTGTTAAGGTATCTGGCTGTTCAGTCATCTGGACAAAGTTGAATTACTTGATGTTTGCCTTGACAGAATCAACTCCTAACCTCAAGACATCCAGGAAATTAACAGTGGCTGCAGTATTGACTCCAGCGACACCAAGTTAGCCACAGTGGCCTTTTAACAAATGTTGCCTTTTATAATATTGTCTTCTTTCTTTACATGTAAAATGAATGAGCATGTAGAATAATCTTATAATTTGTGTATATGTGAGGTTATGTGAGTTATCAATCAAATTTTACATCTCATAATGTACTGTTTACATGAATACTGGTTTTTCCTTTTTTTAAGACAAACTACATTGAGGTGTGACCATGTTAGGATTTTAACTCTGCATCATAAAATGTATAAATCTATGAGGTGATATACAGTGTGTCTTGTGAGCAAAATTTATACTTTGATCTGATCACAATGAAATGATTTCAAGAATTTCTTATAAATATTAATAATATATGATGTAAAATTATATTACAGAGTCCAATGACAATTAAAAAAAGAGAAAAGAATATACTGATCTTAGAAAAGGTAGCTATAATACTGGTGGAAATAAAATATATGGAGTGCCACTTTAAGACAAGCTGACTCAAGTTTTTCTCCTGCTTCTCTCGCTGACTCAAGTTTTTCTCCTGCTTCTCTCCCTTTATATCCCTTTTTCCTCTTCTGCCCTCTTTTTCTTTCTCTTCTACTTCAACACTATTTCTCTTTTTGACATATTTATTTATGCATGGAGAAAAATACAGTCTAACTCATGAAGTAACATGTAGAGACAATTTTTGGTCTTTATCATCCACTTCCACAGATAGGTTTCCAAGTATAATAATGGAAATATCTCTATGTCCATAAAGTTCCTTTTTGGAAAAATGTTGTTTGAAACTAAAATGTTGTTAAAGTTCAACATCCATATAGTATACATTATAGTGGAATGCAATTCTGTCTTTGCAAATGATTCCTGAATGAATGATTTTTAAATATTTTTTTAATATAACTGTCACAAGTAGTAAAATATAAGTTTTTCTGAATTTGAAATTTATGGTTTATGTATATCTCCTCTTTCATGCTAAAATAAAAAGAAAAGGAGGACGAAGAAATAAAAGTAGCATGAAGGGAACCAGGCAGTCACTTTCCAAAAATAAAATCTAAATAACTGAGATGAACGTGCCAAGTAATGAGGGGATGAGGTGCCCCAGAAGCTTTAGATAGAGTTCTCTGTGTTTTTCTTTTGGAAGTTTATTTCCTAATTGAGATTTGTGCCTTCTCTATTGTTTTAGTGGAATTTAAAGAAAATGAAGTTTACATGTAGACAACAGTTACCAACCAGTCCATACAGAAACCTGACTGGATACAGCCTCACCTGAAACTTCCTGTTTTTAGCATCATCTCTCTGTTAGGAAGCATGCAGGTTTTGGGAAGTAGGAAATCTGCTTCACTTATCATGACACAGGATGTAGGAGAAATTATATCCATCAGAGAGGAAAATAGTAATATGACAAATCTTTAAGTGTCAAAATAAGGCACAGAGGGTACTAGTAAAGCAGGGTGCACTTTGATACAAAAGTCAATCTTATTCTGATGGGTCTATGATGGTATCCACACTGATTACTTACCCAAAATTTTAGTGTTATGTGTGTCATAAATAGGATGTATAATAATCAGATTAGTCCTATTTTCAGATTTATAAATCATAAATTTCTCATAACTTTTCATGACCAAGAAATTCATCAGTATTTAAAATTATTCAAATACTGACTGCTCAGAGAATGATTTGTCCTAAAATTTGTGAGGATTATTTTGTTTTCTTAGGGAGAAATGACAAAAAGATTTCAGGTAATTGCCATAAAATGATTTTCTTAATTAGACTACCCACAGCCCACTTCCCCTCAGATACTGCATCATCTCTGAGCTGGCTATTACATTGTACAACCCTAAAATTCTATGGTGGGTCATTTTCATATTCCTTTGGATTTTATCAATTCAAAATAGTCGAAGTGCTGATCATATTTGTTCTAGGCACCATGTTGGGGACTCTAATGAATTAAAGACATACCCACCCTTCAGACGAGATAGTCTAGTGATGAAAACAAGATGTACATAATTGTGATAAAGTAATCAAAATAGTAATAGGAAGAAAATACTCTGGGGGATTAGAGAAATATTACATAAAAATATTAAGGGATATTTAGACTGGGTTTGTTGTATTTTTATGTTTTACTTTATGCTATTTTTACTGACATTATAATTGTACATCTTTATGGGTGTTTGGAACATTGATACATTGTGTATTGAATAACTCAGGATATGTAGTTATATTTATCCTGTCTGGCTGTGACTTTGTACACATTAACCAATCTCTCCTCCTCAACATCTCCCCTACTCTCCCAACCTCTGATAAACACTATTTTGCCCTCTAGTTTTATAAGCTCCGCTTTTTAAGATTCCACAAGTGAGTGAAATCATGCAGTATTTGTCTTTTTATGCCTGGCTTATTTCACTTAACGTGATCTCCAACATATCTGTGTTGCCACAAATAACAGAATTCCCTTCTTTTATGGCTGAATAATATTTCATTTGTGAGTTTGACATTTTATTTATCAATTCATCCATTGATGGACACAGTTTCAAAATTCCATATTTGAGTATTGTAAATAGTGCTTTAGTAAACATGAAAGTGTAGGTATCTCTTTGATATGCTAATTTCATTTCCTTTGGATGTATATATAGCTAATAGTAATGGGGTTACTATTACATATATTGGTTCAGCTTTTAGTTTTTTGAGGAAACTCCATGCCATTTTTCATAGTGGCTATACTAATTTACATTCTCACCAATAGTGTATAATAGTTTTCTATTCTCCACAATCTCATCAGCATTTGCCTTTTTGTTTTGTTTTTTATTATTATTATAGCGATTCTAACTGGGTTTTTAGATATCTCGTGGTTTTGGTTTGAATATCCCTGACAACCAGTAATATTGAGCAGTTTTTTATGTAATTGTTAGCCATTTGTATATCTTCTTTTGAGATGTCTGCTCAGATCATTTGTCAATCTCATTCACTGTAGCTACAAATAAAATAAAAATACCTAGGGATAAATTTAACCACAGAAGCAAGAGATCTCTACATTGAAAACCATAAAACATTAGTGAAAGAAACTGAAGAGCATAGCAAATAAATGAAGACATTCCATCTTCATGGACTGGAAAAATTAATAGTCCATACTATCCAAAATGATCTATCCATTGAATGCAACTAAAATGCTAAAGTCATACTTAATTGAAGTAGAAAAAAATCCTAAAATTCATAGTCCTATTCATATGGAATCACAAAAGACCTCATATAGCCAATCTTGAGCAAAAAGAACAAAGCTGGAGGCATCACACAACCCAACTTCAAAATATATTATAAAACTATAGTGACCCAAACTATCTGTGGTGCTAGCACAAATATAGACAAAGACTAATAAAATAGGATTTTCAAATCCAGAAATAAATTCATGCACTTAAAATCAAATTGTTGGCAAAGACACCAAGATCATGCTTTGGGGCAATTACCCTCTTCAGTAAATGCTGTCAAGAAATCTAGATGTCCACACATAGATGTATGAGATTAGATTCCTTTCTCACACCACATTCAAAAATTAACTTTAAATGGATTGAAGACTTACATATGTAAGATCTGATACTATAAAACTATTAGGAAAAAATAGGAGGAACATTACATGACATTGGTCTGGGCAATGATTTTTTTTAAATATTGTTTAGTTTTCAATGGATCTTTATTTTATTTATTTAAATGTGGTGCTGAGAATCTAACCCAGTGCCTCACACATGCTAGGCAAGGACTCTACCACTGAGCCACAATCCCAGCCCCTGGGTAATGATTTTTAAAAAGAAAATAAAGCACAGGCAGCAAAAGTAAAGAAAGGAGAGAGGAAAAAAAAAATGGGATTGCATCAAACTAAAAAGACCATTTTCAGCAAAAGAAATAAGAGAAAACCCACAGAATGGGAGAAAATATTTGCAAATTCTTCACCCAACAAGATCTTAATACCAGAATATATAAGGAACTAAAAAAGAGAGAGAGAGAGAACTAAATTGAAAAGAACACAAATAAATGGAAATACATTCCATCTTCATGGATTGGAAAAATTAATATTGTTAAAATGTCCATATGACCCAAAGTGATCTTACACATTTAATCATTAATGCTGATGATTAGAATTGGGAGGGCAGGATGAAAGAGGATTCCAGTTAAAACAGTATTAGCAAGACTCTGAAATAGCCCAGCCTAGAGTGTCTAGCTGGTCTGCATTTTCTTTTTCTTTCTTTTTTTTTTTCCACTGAAGCAAAAGTAGAAAATTTATGGAAAATCAAACATAAAAATAACCTCAAACAAGTAACAAAGCAAAGACTAAAAGGAAAAATACCTAAATTAAGACAAAGCTCCAAACTATTTCAAAATGATGAAATTATATTGGATATGGTATCTAAAAGATGCAGGTGGGGGATGGGGATCTGATGTGGGTGTGGCTGTCAGCAGAGGACTATGAGAAAATCTTTGCGGGAAAGCAAAGGTCCTTCATTCCTGGAGATGCAGGCAGCCTCTGCACTGGGCTGCAGACGAAGATCCCCATAAATTAGGAAAGACTGATAAAATTGGCTATGGGCCGGGTCAGCATCAAGGGAAGGAAGTCACCCAGGAACACCCATTCCACTCCTAGACTGGAGACTCAAGACACTTCCAGGTGACAAACGACAGGTGGGGACAACAATTAGATGGAATAGTAGCCGGAGTGAGGACCTGTGGAATGTGGCAGGTGCAGAACTCCCATCCACTCAGAAATCTGGACCTGATTTGTCTGGGGCTTCAAGGTCACCTTCCTCAGGCTCTGCAGTGAGAGTCTCTTCAAGGCGGCTTCTAGTTCCTCATCCTCTCCCCTGAGGGGCCAGGCACTCTCCTGGGCACCTCCCCGGAGGTTCCCCTGGTTCTTCTTGGGCTGGGGTAGTGGACATCTTTGCAGGATGGGCATGTACAACAGAAGCTAGAACAGGATGGGCCTGCCCAGGTTGAGTGTGCCCAGGATGAGCGCGAGGGCCTCCCGAGGCGTCCTGCGAATGGGTGATAGCCTCATTCAGAGTTCGGGTATATCTTCTGTTGCACCGTAAACCAATTCTGCACCTGTTGCTCCTCTAGGCCGAGGCTGGAAGCCAGGACCACCATGGTACCGTGGGATGGGAAGGGGTCCTTCAGGAAGTGTGCCTCTAGCTCCTGCATCTGCTGCTTGCTGAGGATCAAAATAGACCAATCCGAGGTCTATGGGCCCAACATATTGCGAAGGCTTTCGATCTCATCCATGGCAGCGGAGGCTCCGTTCAGAGGAAAGGGAGGTCTGCATTTTGAAAGAGTCCAGCAAACAAAAACCGAAGTCTGTGAAGTAACCTTGAGTTAGTAAAAACTGCAAATCTTATGCACATGTATTGGAATTCTTGGAAAATTCACCAGTGGTCACTGCTTGACACTGGAGAAACTTTCTTCAGAAAATTAATCTGATGTACATGTAGGATGGTATGACTAAGAAAGTCAAGAAAAAAACACTCAGAAAATAATTTAATACAGAGTATTACTTAGTAAGGAGTCCTGAGGGGCCAGAGAAGGTTGTGAAAATAACATTTTGAGAGTAGAACAGAGAACCAGTAGAAAGAGGAGACACCCAAGAGCCTAACAGGACAAGCATCCATGTCTGTTGTGGGTAATGGGTACTAAGTAGGCAAGAGGTCAAGGAAGCATGAACTAAGTCAAGGGTCTTTGAGTGTAGTTGTCATTAATGATGGTTAAGTATTTCAACAAAACAGGAAGGCAGAAAGCTTTGAGAGTAGGAGGTAAGGATCTGAGTGGGCAACTAGAAAGGATAGGTAATGAATAAGTAAATTATCTAACTTCACTCCTCAAAGATCCCATGCTATCACCTGTATTGAGGTAAGAGCCCATGCTATCCCCTGTATTTAGGTGGGTGATGATAGGGCAGACACTAATTGGTAAGAATCAGCCTGTTTCCTTCCAATATTTCCCCTTGCAACATCCATTAATGTAAATTAATGTATTTGTGTACATATATCCCCATTATATATGTGTAATTTATTCCTATTACATTTTCTATTATATATAGGACCAACTAGAATTCAAGATCTGAAACCACCTTCATACTCCATAACTCTTGATATAAGAACACAAAAGCTTTATCAGCATCTAAAGGGGAACATACCTATTTTCTTACACGGATAAAGAACCCTCCTTTTCCTGTTCTTTCAAATTCCACAGATGGCTTTGGTGGGAAGAGGATACAGTGACATGAGATATTTGGTCATCAAAAACATGTTTCCTCTTCTGTTTACACACACAAGTAATACAACAAAGTCAAAACACAAAATCAGCCCTCCCCCTCAAATTTCAACATGCCCTTGTAGTGAATCACCTAATCAGCGTCCTTGGAAAATTGCAGTCGTTTCCCAAGCATATCTTCCACATCTGTCAGCAAACCCTTTCAGCTATACCTTTGAATTTGTCCAGACACCTCCACCACTACCACTCCTTGCACGCTACCTCCTGATGGGCTTCCCACCCATCTTGCCCCTTCACAAATCTTTTCTCTACACAGTTAGCCTTTTGAAACCTAAGTCTTAACATGAGTCTGCTTTGCTCAAGAGATTCCAGTGCCTTTCTCATAATAAAAGCCCAAATCCTTACAATGCCTTCCAAGGCCCTGCATGGTCTGCTGTCTCCTCCCTTCACCTCCTTCTGACTTATCTCATTACTCTCCCTCCTGCTCAGTTCACATCAACCCAGTGGTCACATTGCTGCTTGTTGAAAAGCCTCTGCCCTTTCAGCTCCCTCAGTTGGAAAGCTTTTCCCTGCATTGTTAGGCATGTCTAACCATCTTAGTTTAAATGCCCAGCCCGTCAGTCCTATCCATTCTCCTGTCCTGTTTGGTTTTTCTCCATCATTTCTATCACCACTATAAAAATATTCATTGGCTTATTACTTAAGCAGGAGTCTCTCCTGACTAAGATTCAGGAAGGCAGAAATTTTTGTCACTTTTGTCTTTTACTGTATAACCAGGACTTACAACATGTCCTGGCTCGTGGTAGTGTTATGGACCACGCTATACGGGCAAAGACCAAAGAGACTCCATCTTACCCTGAGACTCCCTGTCACGTAAAAACTGCTTCTCCCATGGGAAAGCCCCACTTCTGTACCCATCAATAGTTGCTTAGGAAAGCATATTTGGCAACACAAAATGGCAATTCTTATACAATGTAAAATTGTTCTCTCTTTGATTCTCATTTTTGTTGGACAATGTACCCTCTCCAAGACTGATTGTCTAAATGTGAGTAACCATTCAACTTGTACTCAACTAGGGACATTTTGACTCACTCCCCCTTCTGCTTATGATTTTAGATCTCATAACACTTGTTTTGAATCATAGCAACAGCTACTTATGATTACTATGGTTTTGGACTACAAAAAGTGTACCCAAATCCCAGGAGGGAGTCGAAAGGTATAGACTTACAGCCTACCCCTTGGCCCACCAGCTGGTGGATCTGAACCAATGGCTGATGAATAAGGCTTTTGTCTCCTGCTTTAAGATCGACTTGGTGATTTATTGCAATCTCACCTTAACAATAGCTCAATAAGGGCTAGGGATGTGGCTCAAGCGGTAGCGCGCTCGCCTGGCATGCGTGCGGCCCAGGTTAGAGCCTCAGCACCACATACAAATAAAGATGTTGTGTACGCTGAAAACTAAAAAATAAATATTAAAAAATTTAAAAAAAACAATAGCTCAATAAATATTTCTTAAATCACTAAATGTTCATGGGCACTCAGATGAATTATAAAATACCCACATACCTCCACCTCTTTCTAGAAATCACAGCTATTCTTAGAGGCTCAACAAAAACTAAGTACTAACCAGATCTTCTTATATATTCTGTCAAGGAAAAGTATACTTAATCGGTATTTTGATGATAACAATGATGGTGATTTAAGGCAAAGGAGAATGAAATTTTTTATACAGCAATAGATCTTGGATATTACAAGTATTTTAAAATTTCAAATGAATAAGACCATTTTAGTTTGCTTCCTAAACAGAAGCTTCATATATCTAAAGAATAAGGATTGGTAATAATTTGGGCCTTCTGCTTTTCAGAAATAATCCAAAGTGAGTAGGCAAAAAATATGTCATAAACCACCTTCTTTTTAAAAAGAAAAACTAACTTGAATTAAGGTTTTATCTTTCAAATGAGTATTACTGAATATAGAAATTGGTTTCAAAGTCATGCATTGGATAAGCTTTTTTTTCCTGCTTTCAAAACTAAAAATTTTAGGGGCTGGGGTTGTAACTCAGTGGTACAGCACTTGCTTCTCACGAAGGGGGCCCTAGGTTTGATCCTTAGCACCACATAAAAATAAACAAATAAAAATTAAGATACTATGTCCATCTACAACTAAAATAAATAAATAATTTTTAAAAATAAATAAAAATTTTAAATCTAGCCAACACAAGAAATAAAAATTTTGAGCTTAAGAAGTTTTGTTATATTATTTCTTTCCAGGTTCTCAAAAATTCTGAGAATGATAATTGATTTTTGGTTGTCCTGAAAGCCTATTATTATTATTATTATTATTTTTTTAGATTGCTACAGCCAATTCTGGAACTTCCCAAAGCCAATGACCCATTTTTCCAAATGCCCTTAAAGGTGTCAAATGTTACTCCTTTGTGGGATGAATGGAACTTCTGAAATAACCAAATAATTTCTGAGAAGGAGAAGGCTGATAACACAGAGTAATGCTGACTGCCAAAAGTGAAACTGCTTTTCTCATGACTTGTGAATTGACACGAAAAACAATCAGAAAAGAGAAGTTCTAAAAGTGTTCTTCATGACAAGGCGTCAGGATTGGCACATATTCTCCAAAAGTAGCAACCCAAAAGGACACGATTTATTTGGATATGTGAGTTCTAGGTTTATAACTGCCTTGGGTCAAATTGTATATATGGGTTAATTAAAAAAAAAACTAAACAGAGTGAACTGGCAAAAAAAAATGAGTATCTAATAGTTTTATTATTACAGGTCTTACATTTAAGCCTTTAAGCAATTTTGAGTTGATTTTTGTATTTGGTGAGCAACGAGGTCTAGCTTCATTCTTCTGCAGTTTTCCCAGCACCATTTATTCAGGAGACAGTCCGGTTAAAATGGTGGAATAAGTTCTGGTGTTCTATTGCACAGTAGTGATATGGCTAGCAATATTAATCAAACATTTCAAAACAGCAATGTTCATTGACTATTTCAAAATAGCTAGAAGGAAAGTTTTTAATATTCTCACCACGAACAAACATATGAAGTGATGGATATGCTAAGTACGCTGAGGCAATTTGTGGCACAATTGACACATGCATCAAGACCCTCATTGTACTCTATCAATATGTACAATTATTTTATGTCCATGAAAAACAAGATACACTTTTAAATAAATAAAATAAAATTATAGAAGAGAAAGTTTGGATTAAAATGAGAAAAAAAATCAAACTTCACACTATGGTTAAAAAATAATGAATAGGCAAACTACCAATGGAAATATTCATTATCTTCCTCAACATAACTGTTTCTCTCTACCAAATTCCAGGACACATTGGAAACCAGTCATTGAATATTTCTTTAAATATCTGAAATCAATATTGCATGAAAGTGTTTAAAATTCTAACAAGGAATGCTGATAACTTCAATTTTATCTTCAAATAAATTATTCTAATTACAATACAAAAATGGCCTGATTATGGGCTATTTACCAAGAGTGTGCATCTTTATCTATGTTACTTGAGCTCATTAGTATTATCAGAAATATGCTTTACTGTCTTTTACAACATGATTTCACCAGGGATCTAGAAGGAATAGGAACAGCTTATAAAGAAAAGCTGTATTTGCTATGCCAAAAGAAGCAGTTCTTGTTTGTGTGATTGATTGGTTGTTTTTTGTTTGTTTTTTAATGAGCTTCTGTGATGCTACTTCATCCCATGTTGTATTTGGTGATCCAACCACATTTTGAAAGATTTAGGGTAATACATCCTATTGACTCCCCTCTGTTCCCATTTCCTCACCCATAAAAACAGAGGTAACTCTTGCTCAGGCTTCCTCTCACACAGCAAGTGTTGGATCAATTTCATTAAATGAATCATTTATGTGAAAATGCTTAGAAAATGATAAATAATTAAAAAATAGCAAACAAGATGTGAATGGAAGTCTAAGTTAGTAAACTATGAATAATGTCATTCTCAGGGTTGATCTTATGTGTCAGTAAGGTAGTAGACTAAGAACACACCTTACCATCTCCACTTCCACCAAAAACAATAAATTTTTGTATTTGTGTTCCATTTCTCAGGAATAGGTATTCCACTTCTGAAATGCAAATGAATTTATATTTTCAGTGTAGCTCAGTACACATATGGAAATGTGAGTTACTTCATTGGAGCTTTTCTGTGGGTGTTTCCTGAGACCATGTTTTGATGGGATAGTAAACAGCACCTAGAAAGCCCAGAGAGTAGAAGAGAGGTTTGACTGCCTCATTTCTACTCATCTGTGTTCTGGAGACAAACTTCACCACTTCACAGACTACTAAGGGCCATTTCTGACGTCCGAATCAGCAGAAACAGGGATCACTCTGGAGCAGAAGAACTTTTGAGAGCAGGAATATGGGGTACCTCACACTCTCACTGAGTGTATGGATTATGAGGTTTGTTACACCCAGAGTGAAAAAAAATGGTTAAGCAAGTTCTGTAATGTCCTTAAAAGCATTTATGTACTTTGCTTAATATTGCAAGCAATACCCACTCTGCCCAATCTTCCTGGGAGTCGTGTTCCTCCCATGCTTATATAAGCATGAAAATCAATTTAACTATATTCACTAAAAATCTAAACCCTTTCCTTCTAAAAGCAAATGTTTGATCTTTTTCTTTCAGAAGCAACTATTTTTACACTCTTTTATCCAACTTCTGAAACTTAATTCTGACAAAAAAAAAATAGGGAGGAACAAATTAGGCCTCTGGCTTCTAATATAGTGCTCTGTTAGCAGAGGCAATGAGAATAATATAGACATCTTTGTAAAACCTCAATCTTATTTTCTGATCCTTTAGAAAATGCATTCCTCTAAAAACACATTACCCTACAAGTGGCCTTTGGAGAAACTGAAACATTGAAGAAATCCTTGGATTGCTGGAAGGAACATTCTCCATGGACAATTCTAATCAATTACAGAAACATAACTGTACCCAGATCATGTAATACACCACAGTGATGATCCTGGCTTCTGTCCATCTTATAAAATGCTGCAACTCATAAACATCAAACCTGCTGCTGTTTGCAACAATCCTGCCCAGAAAAAAAATTACTCTCAATTGATTGTTACTTTTTCATGCTGCAAACGATTGTACATCTGCATCTTCTATTTCAGTTTTGTCCTCTTGTTATCTTTGTCCACTGTGTTAATTATTTTTGGATGCTTCATCCCATCCCCAAACAATATATTTGAAACACTCATGGGAATGCATTGCATAAATATTGAATGTGTTAAAGACAGAGTCTGAGGTAATTCAGAATGAATTTAAGTAAGTTGGTTGGAATCAGTTTTTACTTAGGAAATCTTCTAGGGACAATCCTGGCATATTTAAAATAACTGTTCACAGAGATGCAATCTGCATGTGCATTCCAGCAAATCCATGAATCAGCAATCAGAAAGGAAAAACACCAATTAAAATGCAGGAAAACTGCTAAAAAGGAATTTAGAAAAACATTACCAGTTACAATAATAAAAAACCTAGGAAAATGCTTCATAACAAAAATGTTTTAATAAGATCAGATGAAGATAATGTGACAACAATGAGATGTTAAATGAAAAAGGGAAATGTAGAGTATACACAAGCTGCAATTACATACATGTTTTATGGATTCAGTGGACAAATAGGAGATCTGTTCCACCTGACAAACAGAAGTGGCAACAGTAATTAGAAGTCAAATGCCTTGCATTGGATTTGGAATAATGTCTTGGGTCTGACACCAAGGACACAGGCAATGAAGAAAGGAAAGCAACCCACAGAATAGAAGAAAATATTTACAAATCATATCTAGGATACATAAAGAACTCCTAAAACTCAACAATAACAAAAACAAACAACTTGATTTTAAAATGAACAAAAAGACTTGCATAGACATTTTTCTAAAGAAAATAATCAATAAACACATGAAAAAATACTATAACGAAGTTTTATAGAAATGCAAATCAAAGCCACAATGAGATCCACTTCATACTCATTAGGATGGCTCCAATTTAAAAAAAAATCAGGAAATAAGTGTTGGTGAAGATACAGAAAATGAGAGCTCTTAGGTATTGTTGATGGGATCATACATTGGTGCAGCCACTGTGGAAAACAGGATGGCAGTTTCTCAAAAAAATAAAAATAAAATTACCATATGATCTAGCAATTCTACTCGTGGGTATATAACCCGCCCCCCAATTGAAGGAAGGGTATTGAAGAGATATTTGTATACCTGTGTTCATAGCACCACTGTTCACAATAGCTAAACCTAAGAAGCAGTTTAAATGTCAAAGGATGAATGAAAAAGCAAAATGTGACATAGAAACATCTAATGAAATATTATTCTGGGCTGGGGATGTGGCTCAAGCAGTAGTGTGCTTGCCTGGCATGCACAGGGCACTGGGTTCAATCCTCAGCACCACATAAAAATGAAATAAAGTTGTTGTGTCCACCGAAAACTAAAAAAACAAACAAAAAAATTCTCTCTCTCTCTCTCTCTCTCT